TATTTTTTTTTTTTTTTTTTTTTTTTTTTTTAATATCTTTGTATTAAAATTCTACAGGTTTGGAACAACATAAGCGTGAGCAAATAACGACAGAATTGTAATTTTTGGGTGCACTATCCCTTTAAGATCTGCTCAGATTATAGACATGGATTTCTATGAGTCATGATGAGATGAAATGAGATTCTGAAATCCAAAAACATTGTGTTAATAATTAAACGTCTTGAAAGGTCACTATACCTGCTCAATGGTTAGGTTCTTGTCTGGTCCAGTTAGGAATGGGATGAGAAATGGTTCTAAAGGCTTTACTGTGCTGAAGAACCCATAGATGCATAACAGAGTAGTGGGATACTTCCAGTCCCTCGTCCAATGCTTCAGAGTCTCCATCTTTTTAGATTCAGTGTTTCCTTAAGTTGGATGTAAATACAGTACCTTTATCAGACTGAACACTATAATAATATAATCTTTATGTTATTGTCAAAAGAGCACTATTTTTGCATGCACTGTTTACCTTTGCAGGTGTGTGAGATCTGTTTTCATGGAAGTACTGCTCCTGTCTTGAGATAATCACCACTCACTCTGAGGGTGAGAGTCTCTGCTGTAAATGAGCAACCAGTGAGCAAAGTTCTGCTTAGATTATTCTGATCACACCTTCATTCTGAGCAATATTGTTATTCACTAGATAATCAGACTTTATTTATTATTCTAATACTATGCATTGTTCATGTCATTAATTATTTTAGGATTAATTAATTTGAGAAACTTTTACTTAAGTCGTGTCTTCACTCTTTATTAGTATAACTGTGGCAATATTTCTTTTGATTTTCTTCTGGTTTTGGAGCAGGGGACTTTTATTATTTTTTTATTATTATTATTATTTTTTTTTATTCCCACTTTCGAACTTTTATTTTGAATTCTCACAGGCTTCTTCGGTCGGCCTTTTATTTTGAATTCCATTTCCATCGTATTTCAGATGCTTCCTGTTTCAAACTGGTTTCTCGTGACAAATCCTATGACACTTGGTTTGCGGATAAAACACCAGCAGGTTAGAAAAATGCACACATTTGACTTTTATTGCTTTATTAATGCAGCTACTGTGCAAAATTAGTATCAAAATAGACAATATTATCATAACTTAACTAAAAAGTGTAAAAATAGTATGATAATGTTACACTACGTAAATACGTCGTGACCTAACTGTTAATTCGCTTTTATGGATATATACCAAGCTAGTGCTATGATATTTCTTGAAGTACCTTGTGTAAATGCGATGAAAATAGTATAATTTATTGTAATGGTATACATTAAAATACGATGGTATTACCGCCTGACATCATCATTTTACCATGGTAAAATACTTTTTGTAAAACTTCTTTAGTCAACTGATTTAAATGTATCTTCCAGGTGTGCAATCATGGCAAGCAACAAATTCCAGATCGTGGTGCAGGGAGAGGCATCTGAGACGGACTCAGATGATGAAGTATGCATCACCTCTGCTCCTCCTGTCCATGCATCATCATCATCAGGGATGAAGGTGGCAGGAGAGGCGTCCGAGACCGACAGCGAGGACGAGGAGGAGAGAGCTCGCAGACTAGCCTCAGAAAGCCATCAACAGATGCTCCGCAAAGACCTGCCTCCTCTCATCGTGATCAGAAACACACCTGCGACTGCGTCCGGACAGGAGGACAGATCGTCGCCTGTGTCCAGACCTGACTCAGGTAGGTTTAACTCGTTACTCCAGCAGAAACTGCAGGAGAGCAATGCGCGGTTGTGCATGGACGTCAATCAAAGCCTGAAACAGGTGTATCAGAACGCAGCACGGGACATAAGACAGGCCACCGCTCACCTCAACAACTCTCAGACAGGCATCATCAACGCGTCCCACAGCATTAGGCTCATACTGGAGGACCTGAAGTCAGTGTCTGAGAAGATCGACATCATTACCAGCTGTCATCTGCTGCCGGACATCACCATGCCAAACCCGCTGTCTGAACAATCCCAATCAAGGGCTCAGGAGCTTGATGAGATGGCTGCATGTATAAAAAAATGACAAATTCTGTGAAATATTATTGCTAAATATGGGCCTGCTGTTGGCCTGTTGAAGGTCCAATATTAGCAGCAGCTTGGATACATTTTTATGATTTTCTTGTGTGCTACATATCAATAGTATTTGACCAACATGGTCATTATTATCAGTTATTATCAATTAATATGAAAATTTGGTTGGAGTGATTAGTTGAATGCACTGAGGAAACAGACAATAAATTCTGTAAGTTAAAAAAAATAGTAAACTTGTCCAATGTGTAAACTAAATTTCTTAAATTTATTTTCTCTTTAACATATATGTTGAATTTTAGATTAATCTGTAAAGGAAAGCATATATTTTTGGGAAACTAACTAGTCACCATTTCTTGAAATTTTTCTTTTATTTTATCCTTTGCAGTTCACTTACACATTCCTGATGTTCATGTAATAAATATGATTTTAATATTATATATTAAAATTAAAATATATTTAGCATTTTTATACATTAGGTTGAAATGTAAACAAAGGAAGGTTCACAAGTTTTAATCAACTTAAGTATCATTATTATTATTACTATTAAAATGATACAATACTAAAAAGGAAGGTTAAAGCTGCATGTCGCAATATAATGTTAATGTATATATTTATATTAAATATAGCATGTCACATGGAAGGTCAAATATGACAAATGTGAATCTGCACAAAAAGCATCACTCATAAACTGAGTTTGTTTAGAAACTTTATTGAAACATACAGGTCTGTGATGGGCATTTTGGAAATGTATAAATTTATAACGAGTGGAGAACATGAAAGCTTCATAGCAACACCTTGATCGGAATAAACACAAGTAGGAAATGCAACAGACACATATGCCTAGTATTCAAAAAACGTTTGCCATTGAATCTGCTGCATACACTTTGAAACACTTGCAACTAAGTTTAAAAGGCACTTTGAAGACCGATTTACTTTCTCCATTGATACATACGAAACAATCTCCTATGGTATACATACGACTAAATGAAATCTAACCTGCATTTCTAAACATGAATAAGGCACTGTCCGTGAGACTGGACCGGGCAACACTTTGTCTCGTTCTATAAAGCTTATCTTTTCACTATACCTTTCATTTCGGACACAATCTTAATCTATTTTTAAAGGACACTGATGCTGCACCTTGATTAGAGTTGTGCAAATATGAAGCAATGATTCTTAGAGCGATATAAATAAACCTTTGAGAAATGGTTTGATGGACAGTTAATGATCACATCAATAGTATCAAAAGTAGTTACGTTTCCAGACGCTCCCTACAGGCAATCACTCACACACATAAACTCTCTCATGCTCCTGTGCATGGGTTTCTTTCACAGAGGCACATCAATGAAAAAGATGTGCAACAGATGTGCAAATATTCAGCTTCACGTTAAAGCTCTCACACGGAAATAAAGTCATGAGATATGATTAGTAGAGCTATTGCAGCAACATATGTTAAAAATGTATGTTGCTATCTAAAGTATAACACTGAGGCTGAAAGGAAATAGTAAAGGACTGATAGTACAGTAATAATGCTACAAAAGCTTCCAGGTAAACAACTAAACCAAACCAAATTGATCTGAAAAAGCCTAGAAACAAACTGCAAAAAATCTAAACAATACATTCAATATGAAATAAACAAGGTACGTGAAAGAAAAAAGGCACAGGGATTTAACAAAAAAAAAAAATCCTGTCTCTCCATACAGGAGTCTCACATTCTGTTATTGATATTACAAAAGGAAAACGGTATTCTGTTCCAAAATACAGCTGTGCAAAAAAGACAACTAACTGTTTCAAAATGTGAACTCAGTCCTCCAGTATTTCAGCTTACAGTATAAGTGAGATTTCAGCGAGAAAATATATTGCACGTTAACGTGATTTGTCAAGTCATGATGTCGTCTGATTGATCAGGTCAAGTCCAAGGATTTGAGTCTGTTTTAATGTTGGGGTTTGTCTGACCATGAAAGATAAAGTCATGACTGCCCACCCACAATTCTTTATGACTATTTATTTGAACATGCCATTAGATCCCATTTTGATATTAGGGATTATACTCTGTATTCAGTGTTCTTCATTTAGTTATCACTCAGAACAGTCTAAGAAGAAGTACACACAATTTTGGACACAAATATAAGAATTCAATACGCAAAAGTAATTGCTAATAACATTTTTTAGTTGAATTTAGGTATAATAATGATTGTGGGTGAGGTTTGATTGGTCGGGTCATATAAATGGCGAAGTCTGATTGGTCAGGTCATATAATGAGTGATGGCTCTCAAAGCATAGAGCAGCTCTGCCTGCATCCGAGCCTCCATTAGAAGCAAATTCACATGAACCTGGATAAAGGAAGGAAAGAGAAAGAGAATATCAGTATATTTCATATACTTTTTGAAACTATATTTTCAATCATAAATGAATAAATCAATTAAAAAAAAATGGATTAAATGAGATAAAAATATATATTTGACATGATAATATGACTCACCTTCTCGGAGTGTCTGAACTGGTGCCAGTAGTTCTCGTACATGCGGCGCGTGGTTCTCTCTGGATAACACGTCACTGTTTTGATGTAAACCTTCAGACTGCACTCCAACAACTGATTCACCTCACCGTAGTCATAATCGTCATATCTGCAGACAGTGTGAATGTTCATCTTTCAATACTAGGCAGGAAAGACTGGATTTCAGTACTTCTGGTCGTCCTGTGCTAGTACATTAGGGGGCGCTATGGGTGTACATACTGTGTACTACAGTCACATACTACTATTTCTGCAGTGTACAGTAATTGTATTCATGGAAGACCCAGATGACATTTGACAAAATGTTATGTATACAACAGAGCACTGTTACAAACCATTGAAATACAGAAATAAAATTCTGAAACATAAATAGAATATAATATTAAAATATTAAAATAAATATCTAAAGACCCGTTCACACCAAGGTCGATAACTATAAAGATAATGATAAAGATATAGTTCTAAAAATCGTTCTGAATATTAAAGAATAGCAGAGTCCACACCACAACTATAACGATAAAGGCACAGAGAAGCGATATCATTGGAATCACTTTCAGAACGATTTTTTTCCAACTGATGAACGATACAAACATTAGCTATGTTTCCATCACTCTATTTTAATGCGCATTTTGAAGTATCGTATGAGAAATGAGTGATGGAAACGCCAAATTTAGAATAAAAATCCCTTAATTCGCAAAAAAGTTTTTACGCTTGCTTGAGGTGGTTTTTGACTTGTGCGAAAAAGAGTTGATGCGAATAATGGGAGATGGAAATGCATTTTGCGAATAAATTCCTCCAAGCGCATCAAAAAAGTCATGTGACTTTGCGCTGTGGGAGTGATGATTTTGTTCTCTTTGACTTGTTGGATGGAAACGATGCTGGTTTGCAAATGTTTTATGCGATATTCCAGTTTTGCGCATAAGTTAAATTCGCAACTTTGAATGGAAACCCGGCTATTGACACCCAATCAGAATCCATCCTGCTATAAAGAGCTGGAGAATTTAAAGCGGCAGATGAGCGTGCGCTTAGAATAAACAGACAATATCGACGCTAATATCTTTATCTTTATAGTTATCGTTCTTGGTGTGAATGGGCCTTAAAACTAGAATTAGAAATGCTGCTTTTGCAACTAACTGAAATGGAATAAGTTTAAGCTGAAGAACTAAAATTACTAAAACAAAAACTGAAATAAAATAAACACAATCTAAATAGAAATGAAAACCCCGAGCTAATAAAAATGACAAAAGGAAATAACAAAATTACTAAACTTTTAACTAAAATTAACATGATGAAAATACAAGATAACTGACGTATGTAAATGATAGGATATAAAAAGTATATAAATAACACTAAAATAACACTAGAGCACACTGTGTAATACTGTATCCCAGAATGCAATGTGCTTGACTTGACCTTTCATTTGCTGTGTGACAAAGAATTGTCCACCATGATTTTTAACACCCTAACTTTTTTGTTTTTATTTGGCTCGTGATGTTAGGCTGCTAATTATTTTTCATTAGCAGAGTTTCATAAGTGTCGCCTGTTCTCATAGACATACCTTATTCCATACATACAGTGGACGTAGTTGAAGAGAGCCCTGCGCAGCATGCTGGTGTCCACCCCCTCGTGACTGGCCATGTTGTAATAGGTAAGATCACATGCCGTTCTGAACTTATCATCCAACAGGTGACCGATGTCAGAGTACAACCTGTTCACCAGAGAGAAACCATGATCCTCCCATGTGTAGTCCTACAAAGTGAACAAGACAGAATGATCAATCATTCATCATAAACAGAGTATAAAAAAAGAATAATGATGCCCTATATGTGTATATTTGAGGGTGTTTCTCGTACTTGTGCTTTAAAAGTGGGTGGGTTGTCTTCTCCGTGTCGTGCAAAGTCTTGGTATCCAAATGACGGGTCGTCTACAAACCGAGCCACGGGAGAAGGAGGCACCACTTCCTCATCAAACCCTGCATATGAAAATCACAACATTTTAATACATGCACTGAAAACTAAAGATTGCTAGATCCTTTCTTGTTTTCAAGGAATGGTCCAAATACGGCACGTCGACTGGTCATGCTTAGTTTGATGTCATTTATGACAAATGGCAAATACACTCATACAGATTTAGAACACCATGTGACTGAGTACACAATGGCAGAATTATAATTTTGGTAATTTATCCCTTTAATTCACGCATTGCCACAAGACCACAACCAAAAGTGAAGGAAAATAGAAAAAAAACGAAATTGGACGAGAAGCAGAAGAAAACAAAAAGAAAGAGAAACAGTCTGGTACTATTTTAATTGAAATATATTTAGAGGTTATTATGAAAGAAAAGATGTACTATGAACTGAAAAAGAGCAGTCGGGTAGGAAGAATCTGTGTTGTAATACCTGCAGACACCACTAGAAGACTCTCTTTCTTTTCTTTTTCAAAGCGAGTGAACATCTCCTCCTCTGACGCATCGTCATCTTCTCTCTCCTCCAACAATCGCTTCATTCTCTCCATCAGAGCTTCCAGCTCACTCTAAAATACACAAAAATTTAGTTAAAAATTATATACTACTTATATATATTTTTATATAAACTTATATAAAAAAGGGAATTTAGAAGAAAAATTTTAGTGGTCATTTTCTGTATGTATTTTTATTTTTTTTACTTGAAATGAAATGCGATCTGAACATGTTTTCCTGATATAAAAATACAAAAACAACACATGGACACGTTGTAATGTTTTCCTACCCCAGTGTCAGGGTTACGCAGGGGGTTCCCGTTGGCTTGGTTGCTGTTTGTTAGGTGGCAGGTGCATAAACCTGCCATGGCTGGAGGGCAAAGGTCATCCGTGACCCCGTTGACCTCTGTGACCTCAGGGTCAGGGTTGACACCGCTACCAAACACAAAACTAGCCAAGGCATGGAAATGTGCCAACAGTACGACAGCATGAACCAGCTCTGCCAGAGACCAGCTGTGTTCTCCTGTCTTCACCAGAGCCTGAGAAACAGAGTGTAAACTCATTCATATCTGATGTAGAAAGGATTTAAACAACTATAATGAACAATACAACACTGATGAAGACTCCAGTTTAAGACACTGTATATGTGTTCACCTACATGGGGTTATATAACGCTAGATGGCTACCACAGTACGCTATTATTTCTACAGTAAATGTGCAGTATGCATTTTTCAACATGTATTTCCCAAAACATAGTGTGTGCAGTATATAAAACATAGTTTGCTACATGGAATGTATCCCACAATGAAAGTGCATTGACTTGATTTTCAAGGTGAGTGTGGAATGCACAGGAAGTAACGTTATTTGACTCAGTGTTTAATTTGACTAAGAATTAAAATGTTTTTTAACACAAAACTGGATTGAAAATGCACTGCTTTTATTTACATGATGATACTCTTTGCACGCTTTGAATTAAACACAGTGATGTGCACTACTGTTTGAAATACTTTGTTCCATAATGCTTGCATAAAGCTACAATTCTGTGTATACTAGGGCTGCACGATATTGGAATAAAAATGACTGTGGTATTTTTCTGCAATATATATAAAAATACAGAAATGTTTACCAGATGACTTGAATAGCTATGTTTGGAAAGAGATAATCATTCTAGAATAAGTGGAGTTATTTTTTTATGGAGTGCAAAATTAAACTAATAATTTATACAATAATAATTTAAAATAATATTTTTTTTTACTCTGAAGACGTTTTTGAGTGTGAAACACTCTTTTAGGCCTGAACAATTTGGGGGGGGGGGAGGGACAAATTTCAAAATGTGGGTTTTAAAAAATGGGTTCACACTTGGGTTTATGCTTTACAAGAACTGACTCAAATTTTAAAAATAGTTTTAAAAATATCTCTACACTGAGTTTTCATAGGGCACATTCCTGCTGTTTTTGACCATTTATATAATATAATATGACTATAAAATAATAATTTGTGAGCAGTGCCATTAAGTTAATGCACATATTTATATAATTAAATCACAGTCTGCACGATTTGACAATCGAACTAAACCCTAAAATCATGATTTTATTTTGATATACCATGTAGCCCTAGTGTATCTTGAGCAATAAACAAGAAAGCTAGTATGTTACCTGTATGTGTTGCTTGGTAATAAGCCAAGGTCTATGCGCGAGGATCTTGTTAATCTCATTGAGGTTGCGAAGTCGTTGTGGGCAGAACTCCAGACCTCTCAACCAATCGGAACACACGCCAATCTGCTCGAACTCTTGCACATGCTGACAGACCAGCGTGGAACACTGATGCCGTGCTGCAGCCTGGAAGAAACAAAGAAATCACTCTTAAAACTATTCAAGTTGAATAAAGTCCCCCTTGCAAGTGTTTCTGTGTGCGTTTGTACCATTATAGCGATATAATGCCTGTAGTGGAGTGGTAGGGGTCCGTCCATCCTCAAGAGATAATAGTGACAGCGCAGGAAGGCTTGAAGATAATGCGGGTGGAGCCCCATCACCTGCGTCAGGTTGTCCATACGACCGCTGAACTCTTCGTCTAAGAACATCACTGTGGAGTCATTCAGAGGCATGGCTTCTATGATCTGGGATTGAGAATCAGACATCAGGACATGAACAGACTGTTATTTCCATACACAAAAGCACTATGGTCAGATGGTAATATAAATTATACGTGGTCTGTCAGATTTTGTAATGTGAGAAGGCACTAACATGCGATGCTACGAATTAGAGCCAAGAAAGATTTGAACTTTAGTTCAGGTTCATCTTAATTCAGCATAGTCAGGACAGATGCTATAATTCAATTTACAATCTAAATAGACTTTCTTAGGTCTCCCGGCGGCACGCTCAACTCAGATTCAATGAAAATCATCTCCTGAACCTGATGAACTCAAAACAAAAATGAAATGAACACCAACTGACCCGAGAAAGAACGATAACAGTATATGAGCTGGGTTAACTCAGATTCAATGAATGTGTGAGAAAAAAGAGAGTTTTCAATGACAAAAAACTGCCAATATTGTGGTGCGACATACACTATGGTATTGAAAGAATACTATAGTAATATACCATGGTATTTACATGGCACTCCTAGATACACTACCGTTCAAACGTTTGGGAAATCAGCAAAAACTAAGTAAACTATCAGAGATTTTTATTTCAAATAAATGCTGAGCTTTTGAACATTTTATTAATCAAAGAATCCTGATGAATAAAAATAAATCCTGAAGAACAAAATGTCCAGGTATAAGTTTTCACAAAAATATTAAGCAGCACTGTTTTCAACACTGATAAGAATACATTTGTCTTGATCCGCAAATCAGCATATTATTATGGTTTCTGAAGGATCATGTGACACCGAAGACTGGAGAAATGATGCTGAAAATTTAGCTTTGCCATCACAGAAATAAATTACATTTAAAATATATTCAAATAGAAATATTTTTTTATTTGTAATAATATTTCACAATATTATTGTTTTACTGTATTTTTGATTTAAAAAAAAAATTTGCCTTGGTGCGCATAAGAGAATTCTTTCAAATATGTTAAAAAATCTCAACAGACGTTTGAACAGTAGTACATTTCCAAGAAGAATATGTTGATAATACCATGGTAAATGTCCAAAATAATTATGGTGTAACAACTGTACAATCGCTTGAAAAAAAAAAAATATATATATATATTTTTTTTTAAGTTAAGTATTACCTCATTTTCTGGAATAAATGAGCTTGGTCCTGTTGATATGCGTCTTGACATCTTCATTCCTTTTTCCTGAGGAACAAGAAGAACATTTGTGATGAATATGAAGAAAACATCCTGACAATACAATCAAATAAAACTGATGTGTGTGTGTGTGTGTGTGTTTTATGTTATAATACTTTCTCCAGTTTCAAGTTAACATTAATATGCAGGGACAAATACAAGTAAGCCATCTGTAGCTTGATTCCGCCCAGCAACAGTGGCTCAACCAATGGTGTGAGTTTGGGGGCGGGGTTTATTCAATTAATGGGGGCTTGTTTATTCAACTAATGGCAGGCAGGAGAAACCTGCTTGAAAGTAGTCATTATTTTAGAGACACTAATGCCTCAAAAAAATGTAACAAGCATAAAGTGAAGGAAATTCAGAAGATATTTCAATAAAAGTATCAGTGTATTTAACGTATATATTTTAAAGATATATTGATATATACATCGATTTGGTGTCTACCTGCTGAGGTTTATTTTAAAAGTTCCTCCCAGTCTTTGTTTTTCCTGTTACAGTGAAAGGTAAGAAGTTCCACGAAAACTGTGTTTGTGTTTTATCTATGTATGTATATGTGTGTGTGTGTGTGTGTGTGTGTGTGTGTGTTTGCCACTAACTATAATGGCAAGGGTGTAAGGGTCACTTCAGATCAGTGATTCGAGGCCTGGACACACCAAATCTCTCTCCCTGTCATTCTCACCCTCCCTTTCACTTTATCTATCCTTCCTTCCTTCTCTTCAGGATTTGGGTTTGTTCAGGATATCCCACCAACCACCACAAATACAAAAACGGTGTTGTATTTGCGGTCAGAGATGTTTTGCCTTCACTCTGTAGCCTCATTGGAAACCTGTGCTGTTTATAAAACACTAACCTAGAACTAATATGGGTCTGCACAACCAGACACACATATGTTAGCATTAAATCTGGTGCACAAGTTCCCAAACGTGATTTATTTTTTTATTCCCACTGTCAAGTTGTTTTTCTAAGGATGCATAAATCGTGGAAGGAAAGATTGAGCAACACAAAGACAAGGAGAGTTTTGTTTCAGGCTCGTTGGTTTCTTACATCCACTGCTCTGTTGAAAGAGAACAAGAATTTACCTATAAAATAAAGAGAGCAAATAGACTGCACAAATAAAGAGGACAAGCAGCAAACAGAGGGAGGTCAGAGGAGAAAAACAATACAGAAAGAGAGGTCTCCAGCATTAATCAACTCAACTGAAACACATTCACAGTGTGTACAGCTGCGTTGTTACTGTTAACTAATACTATTTAATGAATAATAGTAAAAAATAGTTTTCGTTAATTAAAATAGAATAAATATTAGATACTTATAACTTACTTTAAAGTTAAGGATAAACACTGAAGACTACATTTCTTCAGTCTTCAGTGTCACATGATCATTCAGAAATCAGTCTAAGATGCTGATTTGCTTTTTATTATTATCAATGTTGAAAACAGTTGTGCTGCTTAATATTTTTGTCGAAAATGTGATCGATTGTTCAAAAGAACAATTTATTGGAATAGAAATCTTTTGTAACATTATAAAAGTATATTGCCCCAGAAATAATTGCGATAAGCGAGTGTCATTTTAAAGACCATTTTATACCATTAGGGCTGCCACTAACGACTATTTTTATTTCGATTAATCTATCAATTAATCGATTAATCTAACCGATTAATTCCCCACAAAAAAAAAAAAAAACACGTGTTCTAGTCTACTAATAATAAAATTATAATAAAAAAATACCTTTTAAAGGAGTATTTACCAGAAATGTTATTTACCAGAATTTATTTAGGAGAAAAATATAAATGTGCAGTATTTCTGAAAAAAAAAAGAAAACATTTTTTTTTTTATAAAATCAATTAATTGGAGATGCTTTTGATTACTAAAATTTAATGGAACCATTAAAATGGAATCCAGAAAATAATGGAAAACAGAATTTGGTAAAGATAAAACCCGAACATATAATCATAATGTAACAGCATAATAATTAGAGCCCGACCGATATGGTTTTTTTGGGGGGCCGATACCGATACCGATATTCGGGAGTAAAAGAAGGCCGATACCGATATATCGGCCGATATTCTTTGTGTATATTATAGTACAGTACCAGTCAAAAGTTTG